TCTCTTCTCCTCTCTCTCCTCCTCTCTCTCTCTCTCTCTCTCTCTCTCTCTCCGAGCGTAAATCATCCACGGAAAGGGAGAGAGGAGGGGTGGGGAGGCGTAAATAACTAAGGACGAAACCAATTTTCAACGTATTCGTATCGATCGAAGAATACTCCCCCTGTCTGCCCCCCCTCCCCCTCCGCCGTTCCATCTCGCAGCCAATAAATCGAGCGAGATGGTTAATCGAGAACCGCGTCTATCCCGTGGAAGACGAAGAAGTAGGAGAGAAGTTTACCTCCTCACGGCTCTCCTCCATGCTTTTGAATTTCGTTTCCACGGATCTCGTCCACCTCGGCCGTTTCGCGGTCGGATACGAGCAGTTGGATTATTATATTTATACGGGAGAAAAGTGGGGGGACATTGTTTTAGGAAAGTTACGAAAGATATACGAACCAAGGACGGCGAGCGTGATATCCCCTTCGAGGATGGTGGTATCGTTCCTCGCCTGACAGGAATATCGTCCCGCGTCAGAGGCTCTCACCTTCTGCGCGTAAATCGTCTGGTTCGCGCTCTCCGGATACAGGATGAAGTGGCTCTCGCCACCTGGCCAAGGATAGGCCCTGTTGTCCTTGTACCTGCAACCGACAATCGGCCAACCGATTATTACTCTCAACGAGAAAAAGGGGGAACGGATGAATCTCGGGTCTTCTTGTTTCTCCTCGAAAAATATAAGGTTTAAAAGCAACAGAGCTCCCCTCACGAGACAAAAAAAAAAAAAGAAAGAAAAAATTACGCACGACAACGGTCGAATGCAAACCTCGTTTACCTCCTCCTTGCCTTTTGCTCTCAAGGAAATCGTTATCCACCATGCCATGAAGATTCAATCACGCGTGGAAAATTATTTTTCTTCCTCTCTTCTTTTCGTCTTTCTTCGCCTCGATCCGATCGGAAGAATTTAATAAGCAACGAAATAATTTCGAAACGATCGTTATTATTCGACTCGAACTTTCGGACGAGAAAGGAGAAAAAAAAAAAAGAAAAAAGAAACAGCTTTGCTCTATAGAGATTTCGCTTTCGAAAAAATTCGATATCTCTACCGAACGATTCGGGGATCGATCGAACAAGCGTAATTTTTCACGCTCGTAAAGCCGTGAATAAGTAAGAAGGGAATTGCGAGACGGGCAGGATACGCCGATTACGCGGGGAAGTCGAATCGATTTCGAGCCGTAGTAATTTTCCACTTTTCTGTTCGTAGAAACGATTAAGGAGAGGGAGGGGAGGAGAGGGGAGGGGAAAAAGCGAGAACAGTAGCACGTCGCGACGCTTCCACCGGTCATTCTTGTCCTCCGCTGCGTGTCCCACCACCTTCTTCTCGGAAAGTTCATCGCCACCGACACGCTTCGCTTTGCATCGATCCTCCTTTCATACGCTTTCATATTCATTTTTACCATCCACCAGAGTGAAACTTGGTCGAAACTTGGTCCCATACTTGGTATTGCGAGAGAACGAGGGAGAAGAACGAGAAGATTCGATTCGAGTCCTTCCCCTCGACGGGGAAATCGAATTAATTTTGCCGGGAACGCGTGGATATATCGAGGGGCAGGCAACGACGATGAAGACGAGGCCACTTACACAGGCGTGTAATTAATTCCCGAGCTAGTGATTAAGGCTATCCCTTTGGGGGATTACCGAGATTGATAATCACTTCGAGTTACGATTCCCCTCGAAATTATTCTTTCAATCGTAACAACGAGGCAAATTTACCGGTTGAAAGAAATCCGAGGAATGCCAATCCGATTGATCAATGTATCTAAACCTCGATGCATGTTAGACATTTTAGAATCCAAAGAATTTTAATTTCTTCTTCTTTTTTCTCATCGATACGCGTAGACTGATTACGATTTCTTAACGATAGTTTAATTCGTAAATGTAATTTCGTATTCGAGTGGTTAAAATAATGATATATATCGATTTTAAATATTTGAATTATATCTACTTCCCACTATTAGCGTAGCGTGCGTGTGGTGTCAGGTTTGTCAACAAAGCGGGAATAGGCGAAGGATCCCTCTTGCCCCTGTGCCGTCCCGCGAGACTTTTTTCCAGCAACAGTATACTATTCATTGGTTGGAAAGAAGAATCTCGCAGAAGAGACCTGATTGGTTAATTCGGAAGGAAACGTGTCTACTATTTTCACACGAATTCTTGTTTCTATCGTGGTATTTGTCACGCATATTATCCAAAACGACCGATGCATTGGCAAAAGCAGAGAGAATCCAAAGATCTCTCTCCCTTTCTATATCGATACGCGTAAGCTGATTACCGATTCGATAACGATAGTTTAATTTACAAATGTGAATTTCGTATTAATCACTTCATAAACGAAAATAACTTTTACGATTTTCAACATATTCGAATCGTGACTCTTCCTACTACCGTACTAGCGTCTCAAGGCGATCCTAGCGAAGATCCTTCTTTACCAGCAGTGAATAATATTTATCCACGGAGGCAGAAAGAAGACAAGTGAAATCATGGAGGAGGAGCGAAGGATTTTAATAACCATCGTATATCCCCTTCCCTCCCTCCCACCATCGATGCCAAACCGACCGAATCGAGTTACCTCCCTTCCTCCCACCCTTCGTTTTCGCGATGTTCATTCCCCAGCGAGATCGATAGCTGGCCAAGAACCGTTAATCGACGACGACACGGACACACATCGACGTCGATGGAAAAATGGAGCCACGGTCGTCGTCGTCGTCGTCGTCGTTGGAAAAATCGCTCTCGCCTTCCCTCCCTCCCTTTCCTTTCTCCTTTTCTTTTTTCTCCCCACACGAACGGAGGGAAGAAAGAGATTCGTTCCTTGTTTCTCGAAAGGGCGGAAAGCGGGACGAATAGCCGGTGCAAATTGTTCCCAAGAACGGGCCGGCGGAGAAACGAGCGCGTCGTTGTTCGCGCGCATTCGTCGTCGCGTCGTAGACGATAACAACGGAGTGCGAATTCGCGCGTACGTGCCCAGATAGAATTCCTCTTCCCCCCTCCCCTCCCCCCCTCCCCGCCCCGCCCCACCTCTACCCTCCTTCTCACGCTTCGCCGCGTTTCTTCTCGGAATATAAACCCGCCGCGCGGCTCTCCCGTAACACGAATCGAAGCACCGTGCGGACGAGAATCGGCGTGCAACGATTTTCGGATTTATTTAGGATTATTTTCGGAAACATTAGGGGATTAAAGAATCGAGACAACCGATTTCTTGGACGGTCGAGAGAGAGTTGCTCGTTGCAGTTGGAAATCCCTCGATTCTCGATGTTTGCCTTCTCTCTCTCGCTTCGTGGAGGGATAAAAGTCGATACGCGGGCCTTCCCCGCGAGGAGGGAGGGCGCTCGAATCGAGAAACTTGAGCGAGATTCGAAGATACCACCAGCCTCGTTAAATCCGATACTCGGTGAATAATAAGGATGGATGGCGGCGATGATGGCGGGTGAGCAATTAAGGGAGGCGGCAACTCCGGTTGCTTTCCAGTATTCGAGCCGCGTCGCTCTCGAATACTGTGTGTAAACGAAAGAAGGAGGTGGGGAAAACGCGCATCGAATAGTTTGCAGGAGAAATATTGACGTACGGTCGTGCGGGGAAGGAGGGGCGGGGAATAGGAGATACCGTGAATTCCTGGTCGTCGTTGCGGAGGCCGTGACGCGACTTTTTCTTCAAACTACCCAAACTAACCGTTCCTTCGAATCACGCCCCCCATTATGCGTAACTCGGACTCCCCTATCTCTCTCTCTCTCTCTCTCTCTCTCTCTCTCTCTCCTCCTTACTTTACTTC